ATGTACCAATCACTAGGGTCTGCTTACAACTGTTCCTCCTCCTTTGTATTTCCATACTTGATAGTTCTACCTAGGTTGCCCTTTCTGTTAATCTGTGTGTGCTCTATTATGCATAGGGTTTTCAGAGGCCTGCTATTTCAGAAGTGGGTGGCCAATCCTTCTTCCTAGTCTGTCTTGATCTGGATGTTCAGATGTAGAGGAGTATCTGACAGACAGCAATTTGTGGAGCAGTGAAAGATAAATCCCTTATAAGGGGAACTGTTCTTCTTAGTGATATTATTACTCACTGATGCTTCCCTTATTTCTCAGAGATGCTAGTTATTATTAGTAATACCCATTTTTCTGTATTCTCCTTTTAGCTATTTTGGAGAACTTCCTCCATGGTGGTATAAATTTCCTTTTATAATACTAAAGGTGTCAGATTTCAGCTTAGTTTTATGCCTTTCAGCTGACTGACATGAAAATTATTTTACAGAAAGCTTCAGCCCTGACTTTAATGAATGAAAAAAAAAAACAAAAAAATGTACAAGTACTCTTGTTTCATCACATATAGAAAAGCATGTGTTTTGATATATGTTTATAGGCCATATTCTGTTCGTTTTTGTTTGTTGTTTTGATAGTAAATCCATTTTCATAAATGAGAAAGGGATAGGTATGATTGATACTACTCAATATTAATACTATTGAAACTATTCAGCTGACTTTTTAGAAGTAGATTACCAGGTTTTCTTCTTAGAGACTTCTGTATAGATTCAAACCTCTATCCCTTTAGTTAGCAGTGAGGTATATTAACCAGTTATACCACTCAAAGACTCCTCAATTTTGCTATATACCCTTATTTTACTTGCATAAACAAGTCTGTTAAGTTTATATAGCCTATCAATGTAACAAGTATTTAACAATTTACAGTGCAGTTTGCGCGTGGTATGTTGTGTTATGTGTTAGTTGGTCTACTTAAAGGTCAGTGGTTTGAGTTTACCAGCTGCTCTGAGGGAGAAGGGCAGTTTTCTCCTGTAAAGATTTAAAACCCCAGAAACATGATGGAGAATTTCTCTGAGTCAGATCATCTGTGTGCTAAACTTACTCTACCAGCAGAGATCTTACATCTATGTATATTTCATTGAGTATTAATAACTATAATTTTTCTGTGAATTAATCTTTATTTTCAGATCTTGATTCTTCACAGAGTAGTCAGTCTACCAGTTACTCTCCAAAACAAACAGATAGTTGCTTCAGTTCTAGTTCAGAGATGGTAAGTTGTGTCATGCTTCTTATTTAATACTCTATTAATTTTGAATTATTTTTATTTCTCATAGTTTCTTTTACACTATTAATAATTTGAATAATATATGTGAAGAGGAAAGGTGTATTTTGATAAATCATTTGTTTAAATATTTCTTTAATTTACACTTCCATCTTTAATTTTTATTTTTAACGCATCATTAAAATTGTATTCAGACACTAATGATGATCTGTATCTTCGAATTAGCTGGATAATTTTCAGTTGAGTCAGAGACCACTCAAAGCTGACCCCCCCATTGAGTTTCTGAGACTGTATATCACATGGGAAGAGATGGTGACTCTTTCTTCCATTGAATCACTTATGGGTTAGAACTGTTGGAAAGATTCAGGCTTTGTTAGAAAGAGAAGTCACTAGAAGTTACCACAAGAATCTCATCTGACTATAACTCCTAATAATATTGTTAACTTGTTGCTTTTAGACAGATTCTGACTCATATCAATCCTGTAAGGACAGAGTAGATCTGCCCATGGTAGAGTTTCTTTATGGAAACTGACTGTCTTATCTTTCCACTGTGGAGTTTAAATGCCCAGCCTACAGATTAGAAGCTGAATGCTTTAACCACTATGCCATCAACACATCTTAGAGTAATATTGCTAGAAGTGATTATTGTACCTTCTTTGAAAAACATTTCCTTCCCTTTTTTTGTCATAACATACTATTATGGTTTCCTTCATACTTCTATGATTGCTACTTCATACTTTTGGGCACTTCTTCTGACTCTCTTGCTGTATAGATGTTGGAGTACTTGCTGTCTGTTACAAGAACACATTTTATTAACTGACATTCAAGACTCTCTATAATGTTATACATTCTGAGCCCTGGTAATACCATCTACACAATGACACTTCCCAAATCAGTGACTATAGACACATTAACTAATGTCCTCTGGAAAGTAACTTTTTAAAATTTCACAAATAAATTCCCTCTTCTTATTTCAAATTGACTCCTTGATATTTCTCCATATCAGTTTTTTTTAATAGTTTCTATATACATAGAAAGTACCTTTCCATCTATCCAGTTGCTTGTGTCAGAAACTTTATGGTCAACTCTGCAATTTCTTTCTATGTCTACTTTTTCCTCAATCAACTACTTTCATTCTATCACTACATAATCCAAGCAATTATATTCCCAAAATAAAGTACAAATTCATCTACTTATCTCAATCTATAGTGTTGGACCAAAATGTGAGCTAACAGTGTCTTGTCTTGAGCTATTAGTCTTGTTTCTTTTTTTAAATTTTATTTTATTATATTATATTTTGTGTGTGTACCATTAAATCATATCTGACTGGTACAGGAGGAGATTTCCCCTCCTTCTCCAGCAGATCATCTAGTGGATTTGAACCTTGCACCTCTGGGATTGCAGTGCAGCTTCTTGCCACTAGGCCACCAGAGCTCCCTTAGGCTTGTTTCTTAAGATACCTCACTTCTCCACTCTTATGTCACTTTGCTTTCTACTTATTATTGTTGTTGTTGTTGTTGTTTGATGCCGTCGAGTTGTAGACGACTCATAGAGACCCTGTGAACGAACGGCCTGAGAACTGTTCGTACATAGAGTTTCCGGAGTCAGGCCATTTTGGAAGTGAATACTGCTCCTGCTTCCACTACTTATCATAGTCTTTTATAAACATAATTTAAAGCATTTTAATTTCATATTTAACTAACCAGTGGATTTCTATGTTACTTTTGAATCTAAACTTGTTACTGTGGTATATTTTGTTGTTCTTGATTACCTTCGAATTGAGCACGACTCATAGTGACCATATGAACAAAAGGCCTGAAGCCTTTCAATAACTATTGACATTTATCAAAGTCCATCGGGTTTCCGGGGACATGTTATATAAGAAGTGGATGCCCCTGTGTAATCTGGCTCCTGGTTGCACCTCTGATTGCTTCTAGAACTGTTCTCCTTTCCTATGTTTCACACATACTGAAACTTCTCTTTCTTTTGTGTGTTTGCCTTTCTTTATTTGTGAGACTTTTAGACATTCTGTTTCCTTTCCCCGGAATATATTTGCTGTGCTTTATTCTTTGTTGTTGTTTTTGTGTACCATCAAGTCAGAGCTGACTCATAGCTGACCCTCCAGTGGGTTTTCAGAGGCAGTTAATCAGATGGGAAGGGATTGCCCATCCTTCTCCCATGTAGCAGTTGGTGGACTCAGACCTCGTGTCTTCGGGATTCCAGCGCAGGTTCTTGCCACTAGACCATCAGAGCTCCCTCATTCTTACTATCCTTTAACTTTCATTATAATTATGTTACTACTTCCAGAAACTACTGGAACAGTACATTGACAGAGAACTACCAAAAATACTAACTGGGTTAGAAGAGGTGTGGCACTAGAGACATTATCACCACTGTCAAATGGATCTTGGCAGAAGGCAGAGAGTTTCAGGGGGTTAGCTATCTGTGTTTCATTGACTTTGAAAAAGGCTTTTGACTGTATGGATCACAGAAAATTTGTCACTAACCTTGAGGAAAATGGGAATCTCAGAACAATTGATTGTGCTTATGCAAAGCCTATCCTTGGGCCAGGAAGCAGTTCTCAGAACAGATCAGTGAAACATTGAATGATTCAAAATCAGGAAAGGGATGCATACTGTCTCCATACCTTTTCAGTCTATTTGCAGAATAATTTGGGAAGCTGGGCTTAATGAGGAGGAATGTGGCATCATGATTGGAGAGGTATCATCAACTACCTATATTACGTAGATGACACAACCTTGCTTGCTGAAACTGATGAGGACCCGGAGTTCTTGCTGCAGAAGATCAAGAACTGTAGTCTTCAATATGGATTGAAGCTCAACATCAAGAAGATAAAGATTGTCACCACTGGGCCAATTGACATCATCATGATAGATGGAGAAGAGATTGAGGTTGTTAATGATTAGAGCTTACTTAGTTCCACAATTAACACTCTTGAAACCAGCAGTCAAGAAATCAAAAGATGAATTGTACTGGGAAAATCTGCTCTAAGGGACCTCTCCAGAGTACTGATAACCAATGATGTCAGACTAGAGACTAAAGTGTACCTACTCCAGGCCATGGTCTTCTTAATTACATGGTATGCATTACAGAGCTGGACAGTAACTAAAGATGCCAGGAGAAGAATCGATACCTTCGATTTGTACTGGAAAAGAGTCTTGAACATACCATAGACTGCCAAGAGAACAAATAGTTCTGTCTTGGAGTGGGTGAAACCAAGTTTCTCCTTGGAGGCTAGGATTTTAAAGCTTCGCCCCACATACTTCAGCATGTGGCCAGAAGGGACCAGTCCTTGGAGAAGGACTTCATGCTCTAGAGGGTGGAGGGTCAGCACAGGAGAGGAAGAACCCGGATGAGATGGATTGATAGAGTAACTGGGGTATTGGGGGTTGGTGTGTTGGAATCAGTGAGACTGTCTCAGGATAGGGCAGGCTACGGAGCTGCTGTGCATAGGATCACTATGAGTCGCAGGCATCTCGATAGCACATAACAACAGCAATTTAATCCTTCTCTGTCTTCCCAATCTAATTAAGCCCCACTCTTACACTCTCATGGAGCTCTTTTTGTATAATCCGTAGTATAATGGGCTGCTAACCAAAAAGCTGTAGTCTCTGGCAATTCGAATACCCCAGTGGTTCAGAGGCAGAAAGATGGGTAGTCTCCTTTGTTAAGATTTATAATAGCCTCACAAATCTGTTGGAGGGTCATTATGAGTTGGAACTTAATGCCAGTGAGTTTACATTTTCACTTATGCTCACAAACGAGCCCTAATGATTCAATGGTTCAGACACTTGGCTGTAACTAGAAGTTTGTTGATTCACATCCAGGAACCTGCTCTGCAAAATGAAGTGGCAGTCTGAATTATAGCTTTGGAAACTCTATGGAGCAGTTGTACTATGTGCTCATAGAACCCTTATAAGTTGGAATCAGCTTGATAGCAATAGGTTTGGTTTGCTGTTGTGCTCTTTAAGTGCCTCATACAAACTTTTTAACACTTTTCAATTTATAATTATGTTACATATGATTTTATGTCCATTACTCTCTTTAGAATGTATGCTCTAAGAAGAGTGCCTATACTTGTTTCACTCACAAGCAGATGTTCAATGGATACTCATCTTTTGAAAAAATATTCACATTCACCTTGCTTTATCTAATTTGTGCCCAGTAATCTTCAGTGCTCTTTCTTGGACTTCTTTTTGCTATCTTAATGCTGATTGGCTGTGCGCTCTGTCCTGTTTTAGGTTTTAAAAGACTTTATCTCTTTTGACTTGAATTATCAGTACTTTTTATATATGATTTTGTTAAAATAGTATTTTTGATAATTCGAATAGATTTTTTCATGAAGTTGAAAATTTATTGTAGCAAATAGGAATCTAGGCTTACTATTATTCTAGTGATTTAATTGAAAATTTACAAAGTTGATTGATTCTTCTGCAACCATTCCTATGCATTTTCTGTATAATTATATACTCACAATGTAATTGCACTTTCCCTCCTTTCTCCCTTTACTTCTCATTTTCATTAATCCTTAATCATTAATCCTTCTGTGCTACTCCTTCCTGCCTTCAGGGCTTTATTTTTTGACAGATGCTTGTCTTTAACCTTATATGATTGGAAGTCTAAGACACGATTGACTGTGATTAAAGATCAGATTGAGCTGTGGTGGTTAAATTTTACTCCAGGATTGAGAGTTAGACTTACATATGTTCTTAGACCTACTCACATCATTTTTTCAGAAACAGTGAGTTGAGATGTTTTGCTATTTTAACTGTTTTAGAGGGAAGTTATTTGATTTTTCTGTCCATTGCCCTACTGTTGAGACACTGCACTCCTATCCCAAAGGCATGTGGTTCAAATCTACCTGCTGCACCACAGGAGAAGGATGGACAACCTCCTCCTATGTGATTTATTGCCTCTGAAATCCTACTGAAGGATCAACTATGGGTTGGTTTCCACTTGATGACACACACTGCCTCATCACCACCAACAGGATGGCACAGCTGAGATTGTGAGAATGGCAAGGCGATGTCTGTTCTACACACATAGTGTTGTTATGAGTTTGAGTCAACTTAGTGGCACTTAATACAACAATACCCCTTAAGTATTTATATATCTTTAATAAAATTGAACACAGTACATGTTAAAAGTATGTAATAGATATTTTTAAATGAACACTTAGTGACCAAAAAATAGAACAATCCATTTGTATAAATTGTTCCTTCCAAAGGTATTACCATATTTCTATTTCACTCTTTTTTTAATTAAATTTTATTAATTTTAATGAACATTTACAGAGATTTTGGGTTTCCATTCATTCATTGTTGCACTATTTTCTCTACCCTCCCCTCATTCATTCCTCTTCTTTTCCCCCATTGAAAGCCTGTTTTAATTGTCCCATTGCCATAGTGCCTGTCAAAGCCAGTTTTCACTCTTTTTAAATGTTAGACGAATATGTTGCATATTTTTTTTCTTCTATGTGAAAGAAAAAGACAGTAATACAGTCTTAAGACTAATGAAAGAAAACCTTTCCCTCTTATGACTTAAAATCACTTTTGAGTTTTGGAATAAAAATACTGGTGATTGTTTTTGGTAAAAATATTTTTTTTAAACCTGTATTCTTTTAGGAGGTGATAGATTGTAGTTTTAAGATTGATTGACAGCATACCTGCTTTGACTTATCCCAGCTTTTTTTATATTTCAGAATTTTCTAAAAATAGTACTTTGGGTAGTTCAACTCTTATTTTTAGGAGTTTGCATTTTGAAATGATTAAGTATACCTTCACAAATATTCAAAGCATTCTTTATAGATAAAGTACTAAATTTTTTCTAGCCATCTGAAGAGGAGGATCAAGTGTTGGAGCAAAGTGAAGAGTCAGATGGAAGATTCTTTAAAACCAAGGAAACTAGTAATAATATGTATCTGAAAAGGATGTCAAAACTTCTAGATGATAAGATTATTAAAAACAATGCCAATATTTATAAACAGAATGAGAATTCTCACAAGTTCTCAGTGAAAAATAATACAGACCAGTTTCCACAGTCTCAGTGTAACTCACCATATTTATTGCAAGACAAAATTGGTAATAACTGCACTCTGCAAGATGCAAAATGTGATGCATGGGTACAAACAGAGGTTGAACATGAAATGAATTTAAAATTAGATGTTGCCATACAATGTGATATACTTTCAAAATGTAATTGTAGAAGTAGTGTATCTTCCTTTTGTAGTACTGAAAGCTGCAGTGAAAATATTAAGTCAGATACCACTGGAGGGCAGGAAGTCCTTAAGAACAACTAACATTTTAAAATCTCAGTCTGGGATTTTAGCTTTTCTACCTGACCTGAGAAGGCAGTAATATTAGCTTAGAATCTCATTATCCTAATAAAGGATAAAAACTTTGTAGCCATGCACAAGGTAAAATAATTCTGAGGGTTTTTTTTTAATGGTCTCATTTATATAATACTTTTTAAATAGCTTTACTCTACCTTCAAGTTTTAAAAAGTTTAATATCTAAATTCTCCATCTATTATTGAATAGTTATTATTTATTATATGCTTGTGAAATTAAATGTTTGTTTCTATCCTTATTATATTTATTTAAAAATGCTATGCAGTTTCAATACACAAATTTTCTATGCAAACCAATATAAAATAAAAATTTCAAGAAAAATCCAATTTTATGCTGTTGTATATTTTGGCAAAAAATGTTCTTCATGATTCTAAGGAAAGTTATACTAGATAATCCTATCTCGATACCTTTTCAACCTGTATGTGGAATAGATCATCTGGGAGGCTGGGTTCTATGAGGAGGACTGTGGTATCCTGATTGGAGGAAGACTTATCAATAACCTGCATTGTGCAGATGATTCAACCTTGCTTACTTAATTGTGGGTTACCTGAAGCACTTGCTGCAGATGTTCAAGGACTGCAGCCTTCAATATGGACTGAAGCTCCACAGGAAGAAAAAAGAGATTCTTAACACTGAGCCAGTTAACAGCATCATGATGGATGGTGAAGAGGTTGAGATTGTTAACAGCTTCAGTTTGCTTGGCTCCACAATCAACACTCTTGGTAGTCTGCTGTCAGGGACATCTCCAGAGTACTGAAGAGCAAGGATGTCAGTCTGGAGACTAAGGTGTGCCTGATCCATGGTCTTTCCAATTATATGCTATGCATCAGAAAGCTAGACAATGATTAGGGATGATAGAAAATTAATGTCTTTGAGCTGCAGTGTAGAAGAAGAGTATTGACTATATCATGAACTGCTAAGAAAGCAAACAGGTTCATCCTGGAAAGGGTAAAATCAGGCTGCTCATTGGAGGCAAGGATTCTGAAGCTCTGTCTGACATACTTTAGGCATGTTGCAAGGAGGGACCAGTCCTTGCAGAGAGACATGCTTGGGAGAGTGGAGGGACAACACAGGAAGAAAAGTCCCTCGATAATATGAACTGACTGAGTGACTGGAGTAATGAGGATAGGTGTGTTGGAGACAATAAGGTTGGCTCACAATAGAACAGGGTTCAGAGCTGTTGTGAATAGGGTCACTATGGATCACAGTTGTCTCAAGGCACCTAACACCAGCAACAACGTACTAGATAATGTCAAATAAATTTTTAAGGTAACTTGTTTTTATAATATACACAAAAATTCATCACATTGATTTTTAGATAAAAAAGTATTTTATGAATTTTTGGATAAAGTATTTTTGTTAATGTTTGTATTGATTCAGCAGAAAATGTGTTTCCTTTTAGGATTAAAAAATGTTTCCATACTTTTATAAAAGGAATTTTCAAAATTCGTAAAAAAATGTGCTCTTTAATGTTACTGTTTCTTGCTTTGTTTGAGAAACATTTTCTTGGTCTAGGTACAGGTTATTCATGTGTGCAATTAGGTGTTCTGGAATCCTCATTTAATGATGTTTTAAAATCAATAAAGTTATGTTTCAGGTCTGTATCCTTTTTCCATAACTTCAATCTGATATTGTAAAAAGAGCAAGGGCCACAAGGGGATGGCTATATGTGACCATTATCAAATCCACAAAGCCAAACTGTCCTCGTCAGCATCAATAACACAAAACCATTTCCCATGAGGTTAGACATATTCTCCACACTTCTTTACCTTTTTCTACTCAACACCAGTCTGACTGGGGTTGAGTAGATTTGCTGGTCCAAAATCCACTGAGATAGTTTACAGACCACACAGAGCCATGCTTGGAAAATCAGAAGTTTATAATACAGATTTATACAGTCAGCATACAGTCAATACAGCTGCCAAAATGTACCTTCAGAAATATCAAACTTGAGCCTCATGGCTTTAGTCCAGTGTTCTCAAGTTCTTGCCTGTATTGCCTTCTGATGCCCAGTTGTCCAACAGAGTTCTCAGTTCTCCAGTATTAACTCTCCTCCCACCAAGGTTCCGTCTCACAGCAGATCTCCAGTTTGGCCATGGCTGTTGCTCCCACAGGTGTGGCTGGAGCAAGAAGGGTGTCCTACGTTCTCTAGTGCTTCTTCACTGGCACCAGAAAAGCTGCCTCTCACTCTGGCTTGCTCAATTCAATGGTAAGACTAGCCAATCCCTTTGTAGATTGTTGAGACTGGTCAATTCCCTTGTGGAATGGTAGCAAATTGCTTTGTGGATAACCTAAGATTCCCCACTCACACATTCCTGCTCATCTACATAGCAAAGTCAAACAATGGCTATGAAAAGTCATATTGAACTGTAAGGATATTATATGAATTGTTAAGTAATTTTAATAATGTATAGTAATTATAAAAGGAGGCTATAATCTGATGTGCAATCTTAGTTTTTCTAAAAATTATTTTCATCCTATTGTAGGAAAGGTCATAATAGGTTATCTTGACTATTATATATTCTGTTTTAATAGTGAAGACTGATAAATGGTAAAAGATGACTCTACTGGTAAAATGAGAATAACTTTGAGATGTGAATCTTGATATCAGTACTAAAGAAACAAATTTCTTTCAAATATTAATCAAAGTCTAGAAATACTGAAAGCAAATTCATTATAAAATTCAACAACAATTCCTGTTTTATCAGTGCCATAGTATGGCTGTTGAGCTCAGTAAGATGATGAAGAATGTCAGGAATTTAATTTTTTTTTAATTATAGTAACCATAGTCCTTGAGAATAGATCATATTAACTCACTCTTTGCCATAGAATGTGAACTGACTATAGCTGACCCTCCAGTGTGTTTCTGAGGTTATAAATTGCACAGGAAATTTTCCATCTTTCTTTTGTTGAGCCATTGGTGCATTTGAACTACCAGAGAAGCACTGCATTTGGTTTAGCAACACACCTCTATGTGGACTATACCATCAGCACTTCCCAAGGTCCTTAAAAGAGATAAATGTCTCTGCAACAGAAGTATACTTAGAAAATAAAAAGGCATGGCACACGTCTCAAAATAAATAGTGGTTTATGTTTCCTGTTGATGAAGCAATTTAATGAGAAATAAGTTGAAGAGTGAAGTAAATATAATTTTTAATGTTTACCATTTAGATTTAGTTGTTAGGTGCCATCAAAATATACAAATCAATGTAAATAATATTGAGTGTAAAAGAAATCTAAACTAAATTATATTTAAATGAAAGAGAATTAAAGGATTAATGATTCTGCACATACTTATAACATACATTGCTAATCACAGTCACTCCAAACAACACTAGTTTATTTAATAATAGCTGCTGCTATGCATTACTGAGCCACAGTTGAAGTTTAAGTCAGCATCTATAACTCTAGTGAGATGCCATCTTTAACATGCATTATCTTCAGAAATGTTTGTGTTAAGTACCATTGAGTTACCTACAACTCATAGTAACTCCATGAAAAGATTGGAACTTTGCCCCTTCCTGTTGCCAACATCACAGTCTCTCACATGCTCCAGCCCGTCTTCATAGTCACTGTGTTAATCCATATCATTGAGATTTTCTGCTCTTTCTTATTCCTCCACCTTTCCCAGTATGATGTTTTTCTGAGGGCTGGATCCTTCTGACAATATGCTCAAAATACATGAGACAAAATGTAATCCTCTTTGCCTCTAAGGACAGTCCTGGTTACACTTCCTCCAAGACAAATTTGTTTGTTCTTTTGGCAGTCCATGGGATATTCAGTATGCTTCTACAGCACCACAATTCAAAGGCGTCGATGACTAGTCATCTTACCTCATTGCTCAATTTCTAGATTAATAGAAAGCAATTGAAAATACTATGGCTTGGATCAGGTGCATATTATTCTTTACATTGACATCTTGATTCTGTAGCAGTTTGGGGAGGTCCTTGACAGCATCTTTCTCTAATGCAACATGTCTTTTGATTTCTTCACTGCTGCTACCATAGGCATTGATTGTCAATTCAAATAAAATGAATTTACTAAAACCACAAACATTTCTCCATCTGTCATGATGTTGTCTATTGGTTCAATGATGAGGATTTTTGTTTTCTTAGTATTAGATGTAATCCATATTGATATCACTCTAGAGATTAAGGTTTGCCTGATCCAGGCCATAGTCTTCGCAATTGCTTGTTATGTTTCTGAGAGCTGGACATTGACTAAGAATGACAGAAGAAGAATTGATGCCTTCTAGTAGTGGTGCTGGAAAAGAGTCTTGAACATACCATGGACTGCCAAGAAAACAAATAGATCTGTCTAGGAGATGATGAAACCAAATTTCTCCTTGGAGACTAGAATTGTGAAGCTCCATCTTACATACTGTGTGCGTGTTTCCAGGAGGGACCAGTCCTTGGAGAAAGACATTGTGCTTGGAAGATTGGAGGGACTGCACAGGAGAGGAAGACCCCAGATGAGATGGATTGATACAGTAACTGGGGCAATGAGGGAAGATGTGTGGGTATCAGTGAGATTGGCTGAGGATAGGGAGGACTTCAGAGCTGTTGTACATAAGGTCGCTATGAGTTGCAGGTGACTCATGGCACATAAAAACAACAACAATCCATAGTGAAGGCTTGGATACTGAGATGTAATCCCTACTGAAATCTTTGATCTTCTGCAGCAAGTGTTTCAAGTTCACTTTCTGCAAACAAAGTTGTGTCATCTGCATGACAAAGGATATTGATGAGTCTTCCTGTGATCCTGATGCCACATTCTTCTTAGTAAAGTCCAGCTGTTTGAATTATTTGCTCATCATACAGATTGAAGAAGTATGGAGAAAGGTCCTGACATAGACAATAGATTCTTGGAAACCTCCACCTCTTCCAGGGCTTGACTCAGACTGGTCATCTCTACATGTTTTTGCATGATCATGGCTAAGTGTTTGGGAA